TTATTTTGTATCGATGAGTAGTGTGATATTCTTACTGGATTAGTGTAGGTCATACTTTCATTAATCATTTCAGATCAAGAGTACCAAGATCCAGATCCCGATCCACAAGAGGGTTACAAATACAATGTTCAATTGTTTACTTTCTATTTATTTATTTAATTTCATGTTATTCTTTTAGAATGGTCATTCCCGTAGCCCTATTGGATATTCACAATTATTGTCTATTGAATGTAAACCCTAACGCTATTATTTCGCTTCCATAATTAGTTTATAATTTATTTTCTTTCAAGTTCTAGGTTGTTATAGTTGGTATTAGAGCCGCGTTACTTAAAACCATTCCTTACATAAAAACCCTAGGAAACACCAAAGAATGAATTATCACTCAACCATTCATTGTGAAATGCAGGTACAGATAGATGAGGAGAGAATACCCCAACTAAATCGAGCAGCCTGGGAGGGTTCGCTTCAAGAAGATTTTGACCAATTATTTAAAATGCTAGGGAGACTCATCGCTGCCTAGCAGGCATAAGAGGAAAGGATGGAGCTACCTGACCCTCCCCCGTTACCACAGGTTGAACCACCCCTGTAGCAGGAGGATCCTGAGCCACCCTGGTACGACCCTGCTCGTCCATAATACCATCCAACACCACCATAGTATGATCCGGTGTCCTAACCACACTACCACCCGACACCACCACAATATAGCCCGGTACCCTAACCGCATCACTCGACACCACCACAGTACAATCCGTTGCCTCCACTATGTCATTCAGTACCACTACAAGGCCATCCGATCCATCCCCAGCACAATCCAATCCCTCTTCCACAAGACTCAGTGCCTCCCATGATGGATCCAAACTATATTGAAAGGTATAAAAGACTAAACCCATCTGCTTTTGTTGGGGGATCATCTTTTAAAGAGGCCGAGTACTTGTTAGCTTATATAGAGAAAGTATTCATGACTCTTGGGATGATTTTTGAATGTAGAGTCATACTTCCCACCTACATGCTGTGGGAGAGGCAAACCGCTGATGGCAACTCAAGTAGGCCACCCTGCCCGTTCCAGTCACTTGGGAACAATTCTTGATGACCGTTAATGCAGAGTACCTCCTAGAGCATCTCCGACA